GTAAAGGACAAGGGCGAGGACAAGGACAAGGACAAAGACAAGGACAAAGACAAGAACAAGGACAAGCGCCAAGACAAGGACAAGGACAAGGACAAAGACAAGGACAAGGGTAAAGACAAGGACAAGGACAAAGACAAGGACAAAGACAAGGACAAAGACAAGGACAAAGACAAGGACAAAGACAAGGACAAAGACAAGGACAAAGACAAGGACAAAGACAAGGACAAAGACAAGGACAAGACAAGGACAAGGAAAAAGACAAGAACAAGGACAAGCGCCAAGACAAAGACAAGAACAAGGACAAGCGCCAAGACAAAGACAAGGACAAAGACAAGAACAAGGACAAGCGCCAAGACAAAGACAAGGACAAGGACAAGGGCAAGGACAAAGACAAGGACAAAGACAAGGACAAAGACAAGGACAAAGACAAGGACAAGGGCGAGGTCAAGGACAAGGACAAGGGCGAGGGCAAAGACAAGGGCAAGGGCGAGGGCGAGGGCAAGGACAAGGACAAGGACAAGGGCAAGGACAAAGACAAGGGCGAGGACAAAGACAAAGACAAGGACAAGGCCGAGGACAAAGACAAAGACGAGGACAAAGACAAAGACAAGGACAAAGACAAGGGCGAGGGCAAAGACAAGGACAAGGTCAAGGACAAGGACAAGGGCGAGGGCAAAGACAAGGACAAGGACAAGGACAAGGGCGAGGGCAAAGACAAGGACAAGGACAAGGACAAGGACAAGGGCAAAGACAAGGACAAGGGCGAGGTCAAGGACAAGGGCGAGGACGAGGACAAGGACAAGGACAAAGACAAGGACAAAGACAAGAACAAGGACAAGCGCCAAGACAAAGACAAGGACAAGGATAAGGACAAGGACAAAGACAAGGACAAGGGCGAGGACAAAGACAAAGACGAGGACAAAGACGAAGACAAGGACAAAGACAAGGGCAAGGACAAGGGCGAGGGCAAATACAAGGACAAGGACAAGGGCAAGGACAAAGACAAGGACAAGAACAATGACAAGCGCCAAGACAAAGACAAGAACAAGGACAAGCGCCAAGACAAAGACAAAGACAAGGACAAGGACAAGGGCAAGGGCCAGGGCAGGAGAAGGGCGGGCGGCGAAGAAGGGCGAAGGGGGGGGGGGGGACAGAGCGCTGAAGGAGACCGGAGAAAGGCGGGCCTGGGGGGCGGGCGGAGGAGAGGGGGGGGGGGGAGATTATTGCCCTCCTCCTCGAGCCTCCTCCAGTCACGGCCTATCACCTCATCACGGCGGCCTCCTTATCACCAGTCCGCGCGGAGAGGGGAGGGGAGGCGTGGGGAGGGGAGACGAGGGGGGAGAGGAGAGGGGGGGAGATGGGAGGAGAGGGGAGGGGAGGAAAGTCGAGGGGAGGAGAGGGGAGAGGAGAGGGGTGGGAAGAAGGGAGGAGGCGAGGGAAGGGAGGGGAGAGGAAGGAAGGAGAGGCGAGGGAAGGAGAGGGGAGAGGGGAGAGGGGAGAGGGGTGGGAAGGAGAAGGGAGGAGAGGGGATGGGAGGGGAGGCGAGGGAAGGAGGGAAAGAGAGGAGAGGGGAGGGGAGGGGAGGGAATGGACGAAGCAGGGGAGGTAGACAGGGGCGACAAAGTGGCTCCCCAGCCACTTCGTTGCAGGGGTAGGATAGGGTGCGGGAAAACGAGGAAGAAGAGAGAGGACGAGAAGGCAAAAGAGTAATAATAATAATAATAATATTAAAAGTAGAAGTAACAGTAATAATAATAATAATAATAATAATTAATAACAATAATAATAATAATAATAATAATAATAATAATAAACTTAGCAGTAATAGTAGTAGTAGTAGTAGTAGTAGTAGTAGTAGTAGTAGTAATAATAACAATAGTAATAAACCTAGCAGTAATAGTAATGATAATAATAATAATAATAACAATAGCAGTAATAATAGTAATAATAATAATAATAATAATAATAATAATAATAATAATAATAACAACAACAATAATAATAATAAAAAGTAATAATAATAAGAAGGTCTCATATCAGTGGAAGGGAGAGAAAGAGGCATTGGGAGGGAGGAGAGGAAGGAAGAAGAAAGGGAGGCGAATGAAGAGAAATAGGGAAAGGAGAATATTGAAACGTAAGGCTGGAGCAAAGAGGGGGGAGGGGAGATAAAAGGCGGAGTCAGAGGGGAAGGGGAAGTAACGAGGGAGTGGAGAAGAAGGGAGGAAGAAGGTGGAAGAGGAAAGGGAAGTAGCGAAGTAGGGGTGAAAACGGGGCACGGGGGGGGGGGGAGAGGGGGGGGGAAGAGGGAGCTTGGCGCAGCTGCACCGGCAGGAGAAACGTGTGCTCCGGCGAACGTGCTCGACTTTATCACGTTATTCTCTTCTCTCTCTCTCGACGGGAGGAGAAGTCTTCGATAAAAGTATTGGTATATTTGTAATACCACCTGCCCCTCAGACACGCCACGCCCTTTTCACCTGAGTCCCTTTCCTCTACCCCTTGA